GGTGGCGAGGGAGATGGCGACGGTGGCGGCGGCGAGGGTGGCGGCCACGGGGAAGTTGGGGTGGTGGTGGTGAGGGCGAGGGCGAGGGGCGAAAAGGGCGAGAGGGGTGGGCGAAGCGATGCACCCCTGTTGCTCGGCGGCGAACTTGGTCTCGAGCTCGTGTGGCGGGAAGGCCTGCAGGACGTCTCCATGACACGTCCGGGACATGTCCCACGGGTCGCGGGCGTGTGGTGCGGTGCACCCTTGCGTATGAGGAGCGCCATCGCGATGCACTCGACGGTGAGCGCCCAGCAGCCCCAGAAGCTGACCAGCTGGTGGCCGTGCAGGCATGCGCCCTGAGGTGGCAGCAGCTGGGTGAGCGGCCCTGCCCGCGGCCCAGCAGGGGTCAGGGGGGGGGGGGGGGGTCGGCGCTGGACTGCGCGCCTCGTGCTCCTGCTGCGAGATGGGCGGCAGGAGCGAGTTGAACTCGTCGAGCATGCTGACGGCGCGGGCGTCCAGCGCGGGCGGCGAGGGCGGGAGGCGGGAGTAGTCGTCCTCGAGCTCGCCGGCCTGCGGGTGCGCCGCTGAGAGCCTCAACTGCAGCGTCTCGCTGAGTGAGACACTGGGCGTGGTCCTCGCCAGGGGAGAGGTGGGGAGAGGTGGGGAGAGGTGGGGAGAGGTGGGGAGAGGGGGGGAGAGGTGGGGAGAGTTGGGGAGAGTTGACCTGGGCGTGGTCCTCGGCGTGGAGGACGAGGTGAGCGATGATGTGCTCCTGGAGCAGCTCGAGGATGAGGACCGCCTGGCCCCGGGAGGGGGAGGGGGGGGGGGCGGGGGCGGGAGGAAGGGGCAAGGGTCGCGGTGCTTCGCCTTGTACAACGCGAAGAGGCCCCACAGCGCGAGAAAAGTGGAGGCCTTCTTGAGGAGGAGGCAGGCGGCGCAGACGGAGTGCGCCGTCGTGGGTTGGAGGGCGATGGCCGCCCACATGCTCACGACTGCGAGCGCGGGCGTGAGGAGGACGAACTGCTGCAGCAGGTAGTAGACGGCAAGCAGGTGGCGCGCGCCGAGGTGGAAGACTGGCCAGCAAGGGGTGCAGAGGCAGCAGAGCGGCGGGGTCGCGAAGTGCTTTTGCGCGCCCTGTCCCAGAGGGGAGAGGAGAGGTGAGGCGAGGTGGAATGTGGGCGGGCATCGGAGAGAAGAGGTGGGAGCAGGGAGAGGAGAGGAGGTCAGGGACCTCCGAGGCGAGCAGCTGGATGATCGAGGTGCCGACGAAGGCGGGGGGCGCGGCGGAAGCGTTGGGCGCGGCGGTAACGACCAGCAGCAAGAAGAGCAGCGTCCCAAACGTGGAGAGTGCGATGGCCTCATACTGCGAGCGTAGCAGCCACCACATCACAGACGAGCGCGGCCCGAAGAGGGAGACGCAGGCGGAGACGCCAAAGACGATGGGCATCCACGCGATGGTCAGGTACAGCTGCTGCCGCGCCGAGATCGGCATCCGCCGCAGCGACGAGAGGTGCGCCGAGCTGATGGCGACTGTGATGACGGCCGCAACGACGGCGACCGACGCGGCGGCTCGCATGGGAGGGTCCTGGAGCAGGCACTCTCTGATGAAGGCGCCGGCGCCATTCTTGTACACCTCTTCCGTGCCATCGGCCATTCCTGTTTCAAGATCAGAGCTTTGAGTGATGGCTCCTCGGCCTCGCAGCCAGACGGAGGCGAGTCCAACGGGCCTTGTTTTCTTTCTTTCTTAAAAAGCGAAGAAAGAAAAAATAAAAACAGCCGGCAGCGTTTTTCTCCTTGTTGGCATTGCAATCTGTGCATACCTACGGGTACGCAAAAATTTACGCATGTGCGGTCTCGCCACGCTTGCCGCGCTCGCCACGCTAAGCCTTCCGTCGCCGCGCGCCCCGCCGGCCAGCCGAGTCGGCACGCCGCAGCCGCCGCTTTCTCGACGAGCCGCACTCGCCGGCCTCGTACTCTCGCCCGCGGCTGCGGCATCGGCCGCCGGCGAGATCAACTCACCGACCGTCTCTGCGTCGGGCGACGTGATGCACGGCGTGCTGCAGGCGTCGGCGCCGCTGCCGGTCCCGAGCGGCGGGTCGGCGGTGGTGACGCTCCGCGTCGTCGGGCGCAACACCAACGGGCCGCTCGCCACGGCGACAGTGCCGCTGCAGGACGGCGCCGCGTGGCCGCTTGCGTTTGCTGTCGAGCGCTCAAGTCTGCGCGAGGCGCGAGGCCGCCCTCACCTGCGCATCCCCACCACTCCCGCCATGCCGTGCCCACCGAGCCCTCGACGGGCCCACACCGCTCCGCCTCGTCACTGCTCCTACTCTCCCACGACGACGCAGGGCGTGAACGACTTCATGTGGGAGCGCGAGGACCTGTTTGTCCGAGCAGACATCCTCACCGCCGCCGGCAAGACGGTCGCCACTGGCCGCTCAAAGGCAAAGGCGATTGACGTGAGTGGCACTCCGGGGCACGGTGTTGCCTACGTCACAATCGAGTAGGCTTAGAGACGTAGACTGAGGTGCAGCGAGTAGGCAAAACTCTACACTCCGAATTTTTTTGTATTGATGGTGAGCTGGTGGGTGGCAACCGCAGCGAGCGTGGGCGCCGGCGCAGCCCTGGTAGCTGCTCTCCACATTCGCTCCCGACGTCGACCGGCGGTCCGGAGCTGGTGGCAGGGAGTGGAGGTGCGGCCGAGCCGCATCGATGGTGCAGGCGACGGATTATTCACGACGCGCCGCTTTGTCGTGGGCGAGGTGCTCGGACTCTACTATGGTCGAGTGCTGAGTCTGGTGGAGGCGACGAGGCTGTCCAACCGTGACTACCTTATGGGCGGGTTCGGTCTCAATGCGCACGTGGACGTGCGAGCTGCCTCCCGCCTCGCTCTGCCCTCCCGCCTGCCGCAAAGCCCTGTGGCCACCCCGCAGGCGCGCTTCGCACTCGATGCTCCCGCCCGCTACGTCAACGACCACTTCGACAGAGACTGCCTCAACGCGCGCTTTGTAAAGAGCAGAGCGGAGCGGCGAGCGCGCCTCGTGGCCACGCGGACCATTCTGCCAGGCGAAGAGGTGTACGCGGCATACGGCCAGGCCTACTGGCGGGCACGAGGCATCGACCCACTGGGGCCTCCCGCTGCCGTTGCCGCAGAGCATGGAGGATGAGCCCTCGTGAGGGTGTCTCCCATAAAGTGATCCAATTTAGTCTTTCTTACCACAAATTATGAATGTAACATGTAAAAGAGTGAGCGCAAGAATTTCGCGTCAGGGGGAAGTCGGAAGAGGGGGAAAACTGATATGATAGGTGATACTTGTTACTTCTTACTTGCTACTTGGAAACGAATCGGCAGGAACGAGGTCGAGGATAGCATGCCGTGCATGACCATGAGCCATGACCATGATCCATGAGACACACGAGACGGAGAGCAGAGCAAGAGATACCATCTGCACGACCCGAGTCCCGTCCCTCGGTCGGCGGTGCAGCCGGCGTCGTCCCACAAGCTAAACGGAAAAGAAAACCGATCCGTCTACGACGGCCCCGCAATAACGCAATCCCGCTATTGCGTCGCTCCGATCGTCCCTCCTTCGCGACCGAGGCCGACGCTTTGGGGCAGGGCAGCGGGCTGGTGCAATTTGCCATGGGCTGGCCAGGTGCACCCGCTGCACCACTGACCACATTCCCTTGAGCCCACTCCACGTGTGCGCTGCTCAATCTCTCCTCTCCCTCCTGTGCATGTGTACCGAATGTAGATGTGGGCGGGTGGGCTGCTGGCGTAGCTGACCAGGTGGGGGGCGTGGTTCAAGGCGTAGCTGACCAGGCGGGGGGCGTGGCTCAAGGCGTAGCTGACCAGGTGGGGGGCATGGTGCAAGGGAACGACGCGACTCCAACTGTCGAGGCTAGAGGCTACAACGGCCTCAAGTCCGACGCAGAGCACGACTTCACCACATGGCCGTGGGCCGCTTTACCTTTGCCCGGAAACACACGGGGTGTGAACCGGAGGGCACTCTGCATCTGCTGCGAGTACCCAGGAAAGAGCTACACGCTGTCGGGCACGCACGTGGACCAGCAGAAGCTCGTCGACGTCCTTCTCGAAATGACATACGACGTGCACTACCTGACCGACCAATCACCTGACACGCTGTCGGAAATCAACACGGACGCAAAGCTGTGGAGCAACGGCAAGCACGCGCCGTACAAGAACGGCAAGGACCGACCAGATGGGCGAATGCACCCCACCAAGCAGAATATCCTCAACGAGCTCGAGGACCTTTGCGCGTGGCTCAGCGAGGAGCCGGAGCGGATGGGCTGGGTGACATACTCGGGCCACGGCGCGGCCCTCCACTCGCCTCCCCGCATCCTGCTCCCACTTTCCACACCCACCGTACGTAGCGGCGCGCAACGGCGGAGTCAGTCGATTGCAAGCGGCCGGACTCACGGGTCTGCTCAAGACTTACCGTCCCGTGGGGTGCGCACAGGCGTCAACATCAAAGTCACCGGCGACACGCACGAAGTGGACGAGGAGGACGAGGCAATGGCGCCGTGCGACTTTGAGAGCAACAGTAGCGACCCCGATGGCGGGATGCTCCGCGACGACACCCTCAAGCAGACTGTCAAGTTCAAAAACGGCGTGGTGGAAGGTGCTCTTCACGGACCGGTCAGCCTCGCGCTTCACACGTCTTGACCGCTGAACAGGCTCGGCCCTCATGTTTTTTATGGACTGCTGCCACTCGGGTGAGAACTGGACGAGATCGCCCAGATCTCAAGGAGGAGTCTGGGGCCGTCGCCAGTGTGTGTGGGAAGCTCAAAGCAAGCGCCGCATCGCCCGACGATGCCCAAAGCTGCAGTAGCTGCCTCCAACCCCGGTGAGACTGAGGGACGCTGACCTCATGCCGACACCTTCGACGCAGGGACGATTCTCGACCTTCCGTTCGCGCTCATCGAGAAGGCACACGTGAACCCCGAGTATGACCCGGCGTACTACACCAGCTATGACGACGGCAAGGGCATGGGCTCCATCTTTTGCATCTCGGCCGCTAAGGATGACGAGTCTGCCTACGAGACGGAGGCCGGCGGCATCTGCACCACGGCCTTCTTGAAAACATACAGCAAGATGGCGGGGCCGGCCAACGTACGCCCGACCCTGGCACAGGGCGGAGCTCCGCTCCCTCCCCCCTCCCGTCCGTCACGCCGACCATCCACCGCCGCAGGTGCTCGTCAAGATGCAGACTTATGCAGACGAGCAGGGCATGCCGCAAACCATTGGCATGCATTCGAACCGCGAGTTCACGGAGGAGGACAGCCTCATCGTCTCGTCGGCAGGGAAGATACGTTCGCTCACCCCGGCAGTGTCCACGGACACAACGGCCAAGGCTTTGCAAAAGGAAAAGAAGAAGAACGCGCGGTTGAACTTTTTGCTCACCTTTGTGAAGACCGGGCGGGGGTCGACCCCCACAACCAAGATCAAGACCAGTGATTGCGACGCCTTCCCACATGCGGAGTATAACGCGCTCAAGGCTAGCATCAGGACCCTGGGTTCGAAGAGCAAGCAGACGGGCAAAACAGCTTCGACGAACGAGGAAGTAAAAGCCTGTTTCGCGGCTCTGGACAAGAAGCTCAACTTAAAGGGTTGAAGCTTGAAGACGGTTCAGCTCGTCTATCGTCCTTCATACATTAATCGATGGCATCCGCATTTCTGGTTTGTCTTTGTCGCGCGTTCAGCCAGGAATAGCCAGTACGTATTCGGAGGGGAGGTCCAGGGGGGGACGATTCATCGAGCGTCGCCCTGGCGCTTGGGGTGCACCCCATTCGGCTTTACCTATTTTGTTGGTGTTGTGCACTCCAGCTCCCAGCTGACACGTGACACCAGCGCAGCACCACCACGGGGCTCCAGCCTCCACGCTCTGTCGCCCCTTGCGCCTTGGGTTGTTACTTACGTAGAGCCAATTCTCTCTGCACATTAAACTTCAAGTTTCTGTGACTGTGTAACATGAAACATCCTAATCTGCTCAAGACAAGTTTCTGTAACAAATAGCTGCAGCGGCAAACTATGCTACACACCAGAGTGTGCCGGCCCCGCTTGCAATGTGTGCCACGTCTGTCCGTTATTGTGTGTCAAGAGTCGCTCCTCAGAGCTAGTCGACCTTGACTGCAGCAAAGATGGAGCGGACAAACCAAAAGCAGGCGACGAAGCTGACCCCGCCCGTCACGAGGGACAGCGCGGCTGAGGCGGCGGCGGTGTAGCCGTAATAGATTGCGATGGCGGTGGGCCCGGAGAGATGAAGCTCGCTGTGGGCGTATGCAGCGGCGTGCAAGAAGAAGTAGAGGCCGCAGGAGCCGGTATGCGCGAAGGAGCGCCACCACCAGCGGTAGTCCTCGCGGCAGAGCTGCGGGCACACGAGCCATGGGGAGCTCGTGTGTGTGTGTGTGTGTGTGTGTGTGTGTGTGTGTGTGTGTGTGTGTGTGTGTGTGTGGTCACCAAAGGGTGATGGCAAGGAGCGGGCAAAGCCTTCTCACCTGAAAGTAGCAGAGCACGACGCCAACCTCTGCGCAGATGAGCGCCGTCGTCGTCGCCGTGAGGAACAGGAAACCGAAGAGCGAGTAGATGCGCCCGTTCCACGCTGACGAGTAGAGCGAGGAGAGCTCGATGGCGGCCGAGCCGAACGGGAGGAGCCCGCCAGACAGGGCGGCGACGAGGGGATGCGCCTGCTCGGCGCGAGCAGCGTTCGTGTGGGCGGTCGGCGCAGGACGGGCTGCGGCGCAAAACGTAGAGCGGAGGAGGCGTGTGTGCGGCAGCATAACGTTGAGCAGGTGCGGGGCGAGAGGTGGCAGAGAGGGCGGGGCTGCATCGCGCCCACAGTGGCTGCGTGGGGATCTGGCGCGGGATCAGGTTGGTGAAGCACGGGTCCTCGGCGCGCGGCTGCCGGAAGCCGAGGGAGGCGCCTGCAGGCAAGCGCCGGGAGGGCTCACAAGGGAGGGCCGTGGGCGAGTCCAAGCCGCCCGAAGGCCGGTCGCGGGCGCCAGTCGCGAGGAGAGGCACGTGCAGCCCGAGCCTGTGGGACGTGTCACAGACATGTCACGGCCGTGTCCTGGAAGTGTCGAGAGAGCGCGTGCAGCCCGGGCCAGAGCAGCAGCAGCGCAAGGAGCGTGGTGAGCGGGACGGCGGAGGTTGCGCCGCGCGCCCACAGCACGAGATCGAGGGCGGTGAAGGCGGCAAAGACGGAGCCGGGAAGCGCAAACGAGAGCGCGCCGATCAGCGCATACGGGTGCGAACCGTCGATCTGGCGGTAGAGGCGGGCGGCGACGTAGCCGGCCGGCACGGCGGAAAGGCAGAGGAGGAGGAGGGCGGCGGTGAGGAGCCTGGAAAAGCGAAATTAGCGGCGCTGAGCGGGAAAGACATCGCGATAGGAGAGAAGAAATCAGGCGATGGAGCCTGCCGCGCGCCGTGGGCGAGATGACGCCGAGGAGGGCGAGGGCGAGCGTGACGGCGCCTACCGCGATGCACGCGGCGCCCGTGGCGACCCCCGGCGTCGCGGTCCGATGCGAGGAGCGCCGCGGCGGCGCCGGAGCAGATCAGCTGGACGGCGGCGCCGAGCGCGCACGAGAGGGAGAGCGGACCCGCCGGCGGGCGGAGGACGTCTGCGTGGGTGTACTTCCATCCGACCTATTCCACAACCGCGGTGAGCAAGCGTCCGCTGCGCCGGGGCAGGCGCGTCTCGCCTCGACGAGGTCGTCGTCGGCGTCGATGGCGTTGTACTTTTGCAAGTCCCGCCGCACCGTCGCGAGCATGATTGCGGCGACCAAGGAGGCGAGTAGCAGCGAGAGGGCGAGCGAGCCGCAGAGCGAGAGCCAGTGCACCTGCGGCCGGTGGTCTCGCTTGCTCTCGCGTGGTCTCGCTTGCTCTCGCGCGATCTCGGGCGATCTCGAGCGATCTCGAGCGATCTCGAGCCGGTGAGCCTGCGACCCCTCCTCGAGCATGAGGTAGTTGTCCCACCTCGAGGAGTACGGCACCTCCGAGAGGGCGTACGTCACGTTGTACGTGAAGATGAGCTCGACCGGCTTCCCTCCCCGCCGCCGCAGCACCATCGGAGACGTACCATCGTGCGACAGCCCAACCTCTGCTGGAGACAAGTTGAGCACGTCGACTGCAGAGCCGGCCTGCGCCACGAGTACACCGAGGCCCGGGCGTGACAGCGGAGTACAGCCGAATCCGTGCCCTCTCGAGTGCTACTCGGAGTACGCGGGTCGGTGTTCCCGCATCCAGGAGAGCGCGCCTCTCCCTCCGAGTCGTCGGGCCAGCGGGCGGCGTGCGTGTAGCCGCGCGACGACGGCTCGACCTCGAAGCCGACGATCCTCGCCCTCCGCCCGCTCCCTCTCCACGCCTCGCCCGTCGTCACGGAAGGCGACGGCAGGTGGTACCGCACTGTGAAGTGCAGGTGGTTGTGCACGATCGCACCGTCCGGCGCCGCCGCGCCGAGCAGGTAGCCGCGCTCGAGCAGCGGCGCCGCTCCATCGCGTGGGCGGCGCGTGCCAACCGGCAGGTTGTCGAGCAGCAGATGCGCGCGGTAGCCCTCGCGGATACGCGCCACCCACAACTCCCTCTCCTGAGGGTCGAGCAGCAGCCGGCACAGCGCCAGTGCGCGCGGCCGGCGCAGGCGGAGCTCGAAGGGTGCGTTGAAGATGCGGTCGCCATGCAGAACCTCGCCCAAGTTCTCTGCCGCCGCCTCGAGCGAGCGCGGCGTGCACTGCGCGAGCGAGTAGTATGAGAAGGGCACCAGTGTCCTCGTCGACATCAGCTTCGCCACTCGCATTGGCAGCTCCTCACCCTCGAGGTATTCGCGCTGCAGGCCTGGGATGAGGAGCGGGCAGCACGGCTGGAGCAACAATATGGACGCGAGGCGGAGCGGCGCTCGCGCGAGCATGGTGGGTGATGTGGCCCGCCAGCAGCAATAGCAGGCCGAAGCGCCAGCGGAGCTTTTTCCCTGTCAGAGCGGTGTTTCGGAAGAAATCGCGTGTCGCACAAGCGGGCGACGGCTAGCAACACACCTTCTTCCAATGAAATCCCTGTGTGGTGCGACGGTTGCGACTGTGTCCAGAATGCAGTTTTGCGACGGTTGCGACGGTGTATCAGTTCACAGTTGACAGTTGCCTTACTTATGAGAGAGAGATTTTTAGCAATACCTTAAAGAGAGGTTACAGGCGGGTAAGGTCAATACCAAACAACTCTGTGTACTTATGCCACCGTTGCCGCATAGCCGGATATGCAACGGCCAACGGTGGCATAAGGCTGTCCGAGCCACCGCGTGTCCCGGTCCACCGTGTCCCTCCCTCCATTCACACTCTCCCAGTCCTTTCTGGTCCAGTGCCCGTCTTCTCCGCCCGCCGTCGGGCCGGTTTCCCTCTTTCGTCCTTTAGACGTTTCATCTAGAGCAAGCGGGCGACGCGCCCCACGCCTGCCCGTCAGTCGGGTGGGGCTTGCACGTGGCAGCGACTCGACTGGTCGCGCCAGCCCTTTGTGGCCCAACACGCTATCCCACGTCAGGTCATGCCTGACACGCCCATATTCCGTTCCGAGTCCTACTCGCACTCTGGCACTTCACCGCTTACCGTCCAGCGCTATTCGCATCAAGACTGGCTGTGGTCTACGACGTCCGCCTGCGACGTTACCACCGGTGATCGACTTGCCGACGGCTCTCTCGCCGTCGCTCGGCTCAGCGACGGCCTCGCCGATGGCCTCGCCGTCGGCTGCTTCGCCGACTCCGCTGTCGGCTCTCTCGCCGTCGCTCGACTTGCCGACGGCTCTCTCGCCGTCGCTCGGCTCAGCGACGGCCTCGCCGATGGCCTCTCCGTCGGCTGCTTCGCTGACTCCGCTGTCGGCTCCCTCGCCGTCGCTCGACTTGCCGACGGCTCTCTCGCCGTCGCTCGGCTCAGCGACGGCCTCGCCGATGGCCTCTCCGTCGGCTGCTTCGCCGACTCCGCTGTCGGCTCTCTCGCCGTCGCTCGACTTGCCGACGGCTCTCTCGCCGTCGCTCGGCTCAGCGACGGCCTCGCCGATGGCCTCTCCGTCGGCTGCTTCGCCGACTCCGCTGTCGGCTCCCTCGCCGTCGCTCGACTTGCCGACGGCTCTCTCACCGTCGCTCGACTCAGCGACGGCCTCGCCGATGGCCTCTCCGTCGGCTGCTTCGCCGACTCCGCTGTCGGCTCTCTCGCCGTCGCTCGACTTGCCGACGGCTCTCTCGCCGTCGCTCGGCTCAGCGACGGCCTCGCCGATGGCCTCTCCGTCGGCTGCTTCGCCGACTCCGCTGTCGGCTCTCTCGCCGTCGCTCGACTTGCCGACGGCTCTGTCGCCGTCGCTCGGCTCAGCGACGGCCTCGCCGATGGCCTCGCTGTCGGCTGCTTCGCCGACTCAGCTGTCGGCCGTCACGCCGTCGCTCGACTTGCAGACGGCACTCTCGCCGTCGCTCGGCTCAGCGACGGCCTCGCCGATGGCCTCTCTGTCGGCTGCTTCGCCGACTCAGCTGTCGGCCGTCACGCCGTCGCTCGACTTGCCGACGACTCTCTCGCCGTCGCTCGGCTCAGCGACGGCCTCGCCGATGGCCTCTCTGTCGGCTGCTTCGCCGACTCCGCTGTCGGCTCCCTCGCCGTCGCTCGACTTGCCGACGGCTCTCTCGCCGTCGCTCGGCTCAGCGACGGCCTCGCCGATGGCCTCGCCGTCGGCTGCTTCGCCGACTCCGCTGTCGGCTCTCTCGCCGTCGCTCGACTTGCCGACGGCTCTCTCGCCGTCGCTCGGCTCAGCGACGGCCTCGCCGATGGCCTCTCCGTCGGCTGCTTCGCCGACTCCGCTGTCGGCTCTCTCGCCGTCGCTCGACTTGCCGACGGCTCTGTCGCCGTCGCTCGGCTCAGCGACGGCCTCGCCGATGGCCTCGCCGCCGGCTGCTTCGCCGACTCAGCTGTCGGCCGTCACGCCGTCGCTCGACTTGCCGACGGTTCTCTCACCGTCGCTCGGCTCAGCGACGGCCTCGCCGATGGCCTCTCCGTCGGCTGCTTCGCCGACTCAGCTGTCGGCCGTCACGCCGTCGCTCGACTTGCAGACGGCACTCTCGTCGTCGCTCGGCTCAGCGACGGCCTCGCCGATGGCCTCTCCATCGGCTGCTTCGCCGACTCCGCTGTCGGCTCTCCCGCCGTCGCTCGACTTGCCGACGGCTCTCTCGCCGTCGCTCGGCTCAGCGACGGCCTCGCCGATGGCCTCGCCGTCGGCTGCTTCGCCGACTCAGCTGTCGGCCGTCACGCCGTCGCTCGACTTGCAGACGGTGACGTCATCGGCCTCTCTGCCGCCGTTCCACTCAACGGTGGCGCCGATAGCACCAGCGGCCTCGGCCTCTCTGCCGGAGCTCGTGTCGACGACCTCGCCTGTAGCCTCTACAGCGTCGTCGGCTCTCTCGTCGTCACCTACATCGGTGGCATCAGCGCTGCCAGCTTCTGCACCGTCGCCTGCATCGACAGCATCGCCGACGGCCCCTGCAACGCTGTCCGCTACTTCATTCGTGGCTTAGTAGAGCAGCCACAGTCTCTCTACTCTGAGGGACACTTTCCTCTCGTCGATCGGGAGTTACTCGACTACGTCGAGGGGGGGGATGTCCGAGCCACCGCGTGTCCCGGTCCACCGTGTCCCTCCCTCCATTCACACTCTCCCAGTCCTTTCTGGTCCAGTGCCCGTCTTCTCCGCCCGCCGTCGGGCCGGTTTCCCTCTTTCGTCCTTTAGACGTTTCATCTAGAGCAAGCGGGCGACGCGCCCCACGCCTGCCCGTCAGTCGGGTGGGGCTTGCACGAAGGCGACTGATACACCGATCACCGTCGCAACCGTCGCATGTGGTGGCGCTGGCGGCGTGCCGTCCTCCCATCCGCCATCCCTTTGGGTTGAGTATTTTGTTTCTCTCTTTCTCTTCCTCTTTTACCCAATGGACACTCGCTGCGCGAGGAGAGCCTCACGGCGGTCAGATTAGACATCAATTCAAGTGTCTCTTGGGGGATGTGTCCGGGCCGCGATCTCAGCTGATCCGCCACCATGTCCGCCACACGCGTGCGCCAGGGCCCGGCTGAACGCCGGCACCTGCATCAGCACCGCGCGCGCCACGCCAACGACGACCAGCGCGCACGCAGCTGCGTCCGCCGCGGCGAGGTCTCCGCTGGCGGCGAGCGCGGCCATCCCGCCCACATGCGCCGTGCAGCCGATGCCCACGCCCCGGGCAAAGGCCGGAGCCGCCTGGAGCGAGGTGAGCGCCAGCAGCGCCGGCAGCGTGACCTGCGCGCCAACGAGCCGTGGGCTGGTTCCTTCAGTGGCTGTGCACCCGCATCCGTGTGTGGGGGAGCGTCTGCCCATCACTACCTCTGACCTGCGTCGTCGCGCTGTTGAAGGCGGTGCCGACGGCGACCCACTCGGCTCGGATGAGGGGCAAGCCCGACGGCATGGTCAGCGCGAGACCAGTGGTGGTGGAGGCGGGCAGCAGCGAGGCAGTCACCTGCCACGAACAAGCCACGCGGGGAGGAGAGGGCGCCTCGGGGAGGGGAGGAGGAGGCAGGGAGGGGAGGAGGCGGCAGGGAGGGGAGGAGGCGGCAGGGAGGGGAGGAGGCGGCAGGGAGGGGAGGAGGCGGCAGGGAGGGGAGGAGGCGGCAGGGAGGGGAGGAGGCGGCAGGGAGGGGAGGAGGCGGCAGGGAGGGGAGGAGGCGGCAGGGAGGGGAGGAGGCGGCAGGGAGGGGAGGAGGCGGCAGGGAGGGGAGGAGGCGGCAGGGAGGGGAGGAGGAGGCAGGGAGGGGAGGAGGAGGCAAGGAGGGGAGGAGGCGGCAGGGAGGGGAGGAGGCGGCAGGGAGGGGAGGAGGAGCCTCGGGCGGGAGGCCAAGCGCACGGCCTGAGCAAGCCGTGCCAAAGAGGAGCGCCTGCAATATAATCATTGATCATTACTCATTCATACTCATAGCAAGCCGTGCCGCAGAGGAGCGCCGGCGCGACGAGGAGGGCAAGCGCGAGAAGCAGCCGCCACTGCGCGCGGAGCACTGCGTTGTGCGTGTGCGCGTACAGTCCGAGCGTCACCATCGCGGGCTGTACCGCAGCCATCAGAGCGAGGCCCGCGCCGTCGAGGTAGCAGCCGACGGCGCGCCGGAAGCCTCCCGCGCCTTGGCCGGCCACCGGTGTGTGCGGTCAGAGGCGGGGCCGTGGTGTTGGTGGTGCAGGCAGCGCGGAAGGTTCGCTCAAGCGGCGGTAGCGGGTTTGGCGGAGAGAAGGGCTCGGCCACGAGGAGGAGCTGGGCGGGGAGAGGGGAGAGCACGCCTTGGCCGGCGCTCGAGGCGTGGAGGATGCCGAGCAGCGCGATCGCACACCCGACGTTCGGTGGCACGAACCTCCGCACCGCCTCCGGCAGCTGCGCGGCGGCGGCGCTCAGAGCGGCGGTGAGGCCGAGATGGAGCGGCGCACGCCAGAGCGAGTCTGGGTCGTGCGGTCGCACCGCCGCCCACCCCGCAGAGCCAGCAGCGCCACACGCGAGGGCGAGGCCGGCGGTGCGGCCCGAGTTGAGGTGGCGCGACGCTCTGGCGGTGAGCTGGCACGAGGCCGCGCCGGCCGCCCCCTCGCGGCACATGAGGGCACTCGCGGTCAGGCCAGCCTACGGGGAAGGGGAGGCATGGTGATGGCCGTGCAAGCGGAGATCTGAATCTAGGGACGCCGGAGACTCGGGATTCCGCATCTAGGGACGCCGGCCGCCGCGGTGCCCACCATGATTGCAGCCAGGCAGAGCGGCGCGACGAGGCGGAGCGAGTCGCCGTCGGGCACCGCCGCCACAGCCGGGAAGAGAAAGGCGGGCACGAGCAGCACGGGCAGCGCCGCGCGCAGCCACGCGGCGGAGGGCCCGAGCAGGCGCTGCAGCCTGACGCCTGCAGACGGGACGGCGCAAACGCAGCCGAGCGACAGGAGAGCAGCGATGGCGGGAGGAAAGTGGAGGTCGCGCGCGAAGAGGACGGCGGCAGCACCGCGTTCTGCCGCTAGGAAAAAGGCCACGCCACCGAGCACATGCGCGTTCGATGGAGCTGGCTCGGAAGGAGCGAGCTGGCAGAGTGACCGAGCCGGAGACAGGCTGGCCGGGCGAGACAGCTGGACTCGTCGCTGCAAACAAGCCGCAGGCAGGCGACGGGCGAGGCGAGTCGCGCAGTGCATGCACACACGCAAATGCTCCCTCGCACGACACTGGGCACGCGGGACTGGCGCGCACTGGCCTACTCTAGCACAGGTACACCACGGAAAAGAAGAGATCGCCAAACTGGGCCTCACTTCCTAGCATCCGTGAGTGTTACAGTGAGGATACATTGGAGCGTACTAGGGTCCGTCTGGAGTCGCCGCGTGCCTCCACAAGGAAGAGCTACGCAGTGCCTGACATCCCCTTGCTGGGGGTCCTGCCACTAAAGGCGGTGGGTTGGGACTCGATCTGAGGGAGGGTGTAGAGGATGTCGAGTGTAGAGCGCTGTAGAGCTGTAGAGATGTAGAGCGCTCTGGAGCGCTGTAGAGCTGTAGAGCTCTACATCCGCCGCGTGACGAGAACTGCCTGCGTTGTAGAGCGATGTAGAGCGCGATTTTGCTGTAGAGTTTGTTGTAGAGGCTCTACAGCCAAACCGCCGGGAAGGCAGTGACTCAAAGAGGTCGAGCCGCGCTAATGGGGTGTCTCCGAGCTTACTGGAGCTCTGATGGACGGCCCTGACTATCCCTGACACACAGAGAGTCACTCTGACGGCACACAACACCCTATAACTGCGTCATGACCAGCCTGCCATGCGTCGCCGGTGCCGCATTCGTCGCTGTGCTTCTTTAGCAGGCGGTGGACTGTCGGCTGCGAGGACGGTCGCATTTGCGCGAGGCGAGGCGAGCATTCAGACGCGTTGCATGCGCCATGACTCGCGCCAGCGCGTGCGGGAGCTCCTGGCTGAGCGTTGAGTCCAGGCGAGTTGCGCTGGCCACTATCGCTACGCCGAGCCGAGCTGACGCGCCGAGGCGCCGGCCAGTCGCAGCCGTGAGGCATGCCACAGCAGCAGAGGCACCTGCCACCCATTGGGCGGGCAGACAGAAGGCCAGGGCAGCACTGGCAAGTGCAACGCGCCTCATGTCGGAGAGCGACCGTGCCTCGTTCGCCGCTTATGATGTAGAGTTTGTTGTAGAGCTTTCACGTTGTAGAGCGCCTCTACATCGCTCTACAACGCAGGCAGTTCGTCACGCGCCGGATGTAGAGCTCTACAGCTCTACAGCGCTCTCCAACTCTACAGCTCTACAGCGCTCTACACTCTACATCCTCTATCCACCCTCCCTCAGGACTCGCTCGATCAGCTTGGACGACCACTTGGACGACCACGGGCACGGAGGCAAGCTTCAACGCCCCGTGGCCTGGCCGCGTCGCCGAAAGGGATCGCACCACAGACCAGAGAGAGGGAGGAGCTAACCATACGGAGAGCCCTCAGAACGACCCCCCCTTATTCCGGGAGAGGGTGGGTGGGGAAAAAGCGAAGAACCGGCGCAGCCAGAGTGCTGGCGCGGTTGCAGAGCCTGGCGCGGCCACAGAGCTGGCACGGCGCCGGGCCAGGAAGAGCAGCGAGAGAGCTGCAGGAGCACCACGCAAAGAGCGCGGCCACGAGGCACGCGGAACGTGCTTGGACGTACGTCGCGTCCTGAGTGTTCACGGAGAAAAATCCGTGAAGACTGGCAGGAGGGATGAAGACCCTTAGTATGGGAGGCGCTCCTCAGTGAGTACCCGCGGTAAAGTAGAAGCCTCACACCGAGTTGGGGCCCCTACCCCAATCGTTGACGGCGAAAATTTACAAAACACGAGACTGGCGCGCTAAAGAAGAGTTTTACATCAGAACTCCCATCCTACATACCACTCGTTTGGGTTGTCTGTTTTCTTTCTTTCTTTGAGAAGGCCCGCCGCCTAAACATGGGCTGCAAGGCGCGCGCCGGGCAGCCCGGCCAACCCTTCTCCCACAAAGGAACAAAATCCTAGACAAAATCTCTCTCTCTCTCAAAGGAACAAAAACGGCTTCGGCTACATCCAAGGCACATCGCGGTTTCTACCTATCTCTGCCTAGACGAGTACAGCTAAAGAGTACCCGGGGCTCCCCCCTCCCTCCGTGTGGGGGGCCGTGAACATCTTGGTTAGGCTTGTGAGCCAGGAAGGGGTTGGGTTTCTACCAAACCACGACACGCACTTGGAGCCCTTGGAGTGCAGTCAGCAGCCGCACATCCAGGGCCGGGGAGCTAAGAAGCGCACCCAGCGGGCCAGATGATTGGGATCGGGCTACGGGCAAGATAGCCCTGACCCCTAGGGTGGTGCGCGTTCGCAGGGAAGGGGCCATAAAGTAAACACGGGTCTCCGAGGGTTGGCCCCTCGTACCGGGTTTCCCCTTAACTGCAGGACGCCCCCTCTACTCGGAGCTAGTGAACACAACCCTGCACGCCACTCACCGCATCTCTGCACTCACTTACAAACACACCAACCCCCAACCCTTCGACCACAAGAACGGCCACGGCTACGTCAAGGCGCATCGCGGTTTCTACCACGACGCGATCTTTGTCAAGCGCAACAACTTCAACCTGCTGCTCCACGAGACGTTCGGCGGCGGCTTCTCGCCCACCGCCGTTCTCAAGCTGCGCCGCCTCGCGCGCAAAGTCGCGCGCGGCATCGTCGACCGCACGGCCGACTCGCCCAAGTACTCGCTCTCTTTTATGCCCCACCATGCAGAGCGCATCTCTCTCTCTCTCTCTGTTGTGCGAGGCGTGAACCGCGCCATTCGCTCTCACCTGGCAACCCTGTCTGCACGTCTCGCGCGCGCGTGAACAGGCCTCCAGGCCCCAAATGACGTGTGAGTGTTAGAGTTGTTTGGTATTGCCGCCTGTAACCTCTTTAAGGTATTGCTAAAAATCTTTACGCAGGCACTCGGCGTTCTTTGTCAAGCGGCGCCCCGCCCGCAGCCTCGGTCGAACAGCCGTCTCCCCAGCCCTCGGGCGTCTGCCTCCCTATATCTACACACACACACACACACACTCCCTATCTCTCGTCTCAGTCTCTCCCGACGCAAAAAAAAAGTTTTGCACGGCGCTTCGAGCCGCCCAAGGAGGTCGCCGGCGCTCTTCTAAAGACCGAGTATGCTCCGCGAACTCGGCTCCCTCGCTCTTCTAAAGACCGCCCTCGCTGCGCCGCCGCTGCCGCCACCGCCTCTGGCTCCGCCGCCGCCTCTGTCGGGTGCTGTCGGCGCCACGCTCTTCCTCTTCACGCTGTCCAGCGAGATAGGTCAAGAGGGCTCTCCTTGGCCCTGGGCGGTGGGCGGCGCCTGCGCCTTCATGGTTGTCGGCCTTTGCTGTGGTGTCTGCGCCGTCCACCGAGGCACGCGCCAGTGCTGCGCCCTCTTTTGGACGACGCCGCAACCGTCGGCGCCCGAGTCGCTCTATTTGCCTCAGCAGATCCGCGACGAGTACCAGCGGAGTTGCGTACTCTGGGTGCCGAGCCTCTGGTCGCTCTGCCTCCCCGCGGGGGCCTCCGGCCGCGAGCCCTCCGACGCGCCGCCGCCTCTCCGCTCGCTCAACCACAAGAGCCGGCGGGCGGCCGGCGCGGAGAGTGCCTCCGCGGTTCGAGCAGTCGAGCAGTCACAGTTCGAGCAGCTCGAGGGCGTCTTCGGGGGCGGGCAGTCGGTTGAGCGGGAGCGCGAGGCCGACTCAGTCGCACGAGCAGTCGACATGGCCACCGCCGCCGCAGTTATCGCGCGCGAGTCCGCGCCGCCGCGCCACCAGGCTGGCCCGAGATGCTGTGGAGACGGACCATGAGACAGACGCGCTGGCTCCGACTAGCACTCGAGACGACACGTATTCGGCCGTATTAGGCTGTACTCAGCGCGGTATTCACACTGCATTCGCAGCCCCCAGCCCGTACTGCGATGCTCAAGCCCTTGGAATCGTAGTTCTCCGCCCTGAGACCTTGTGTGTTCACGGCGCAGGCGCGAGGCCGCGCCCGCCATCGCGCCCGACCTGCAACCCCGAGCCCGCGGCCCAGCCCGCAGGCGGAGCGGCGCGAGGCGGGCCGCCGCGAGTGCAGCCACTCGTGCCCGATCTCGCCGACCAGACTCGGGCCCGACAAGTCTCCCGACAAGTCTCGCGCCCAGCTCTCCGCCCTCGAGCTGCTGCAGCTGTCGGCGCCGCCGACGCCGCTCCGCGACACGGGGCACTCGAGGCTCTCGCACGAGTATCACGCGGCGTCGGAGCGAGCAGACGCCGTCGGAGGCGCGTGGTCCGAGGTCCTCGACGGCGTGGGCCGGCTGGGCGGCCGCCGGAAGAAGCCGCCCGAGGGCTGTGGCGAGCTGCCGCCGACTCCTGGCCAGACTCCTGGCCAGGGATTGTGCCTTCCGAGGCAGCAGCTAGGGCAGCGCACCCTAGAGCGCACCCCGAGCACGGAGAGTGTCGGCCCCGAGTACCCGCCCTCGCCCGGAGGGCCACTGCCGCCGCCGCTGCTGCCGTACAGCGGCGCGTGGAGCCGCCCGTCGAGCAGAGACTCGCTCGCCTCCTTCGGGGCCCTCCCCCCCTCGCCGAGCTGGCGCCGCGTGCCGGGCGTGTGGGGGGCGGAGGGCGAGGGCAGCAGGCTGGCGCAGCAGCAGCCGGTGGGCCAGCCGTCCGAGCTCCCCGCCTGGATCGTCGCCATCATCAGCGGTGCGACGCCAACGATGCTCGCCTCCCTGCTCGCCGATCCGGCCGGAGGAGCACCCTCAGACAAGTCGTCCGGCGAGGAGGACAACGCGGACAGCTTCAACGACGCCGGCTCGGTGGGCTCGGCGGCGAGCGAGTCGTCGAGCCGCTCCGAGGCGCGCTCGCACGCCTCGCGCACGTCCGCGAACACGCGCACCTCCGGCAAGTCCGGCGCGACCGCGCTCACCTCGGCGTCGTGCGCGGCGGCGCTCGCCTCCCTGCAAGCCACGTACCGCACGATGGTCGCTGTCGAGGAGGGCACGACCGGCCATGTCTCGGCCTCGGCCTCTACGCGCGGGAGTGGGCGGAGTGGAGGCTCTGCGGAGCGCGAGGCGGAGGCTGGCGGCGGCGGGGCGCTCCGCAGGTGCGCATTCGCCGCGCGCGCTCTCTTGCTCGCTCGCTCGCTCGCTCGCTTTTCTCTCTCGTGTTCTCTCTCGTGCTCTCTCTCTCTCTCTCTCTCTCTCTCTCTCTCTCTCTCTCTCTCTCTCTCTCTCTCTCTCTCTGCTCTCTCTCTCTCTCTCTCTCTCTCTCTGCTCTCTCTCTCTCTCTCTTGCTCCACTCTCTCGTTATCATCTCCCCCCCCCTCCCTCCCTCCCTCCCTCCCTCTCCTCCTGCTTCTTCTACTTCTCCTCAGTCACGCACCGCTCACCCACGCGCACAGCCTTACGGCACGTTGAATGCCGTCGTGCCGGGGCTCTCTCATCTTGGGGACGTGGAGATGCGAGGGGGATGCGCCAGGCTGTTCCCCCGCACCATGCACGTGTCTCACCCCCCTGCCCCGCACCGCAGGAGCACGAGCGACGAGCGGAGCCCTGCGCGCCGCTCCGAGAGCCCGGACGAGTCCGGGCGGCACTCGCGCGTGCGGTTCGGCCACCGCACACGCGAGGAGATGATCCGCGAGGCTGCGCGCAGAGAGATGTCGCGCCGCAAGCGGGGCGAGAGGGGCGAGAGGGGCGAGAGGGGCGAGAGGGGCGAGAGGGGCGGAGGCGCGGCGCGAGCGCACCCCGCGGAGAGCGACGCCGCGAGGGACGCAAAGGCGCTCCAGCAGTGGAGCAGCGAGGCGGAGCCGCCGGAGCCGGCGCCCATGTCCACACAGCAAATGCTCGAGGCGGCGGAGCTGATGGCGGAGTACGCCAACGCGGCCGGCGCTGCCGCCCGCGCCCGGAGGCGCAGGGGCGCACCCCAGTCGCCGCAGTCCCGCTCTCCCCTGCGTCCTCAGCCGAGGCCGGCGGCTGCTGCCGCGCTGCCGCCCCGGCCCGCAGCAGCCATGGCAGCGGCCCCGTGTGGCAGTGGCGAGGCGGCGTGGTCAGCGAGTCAAGTCGCGGTGACGCGGCGGGCGCCGCCGCCGACGGCGAGCGAGGGGGAGTTCGGCGGCAGGAACACGACGGAAACGCGCCCCCCTCTCGACGACGAGGGCGAGCGGAACTCGTATGTGAGCATTCCGGCGCCGGCGCCGCCAGCAGAGAGCAGCAGCAGCAGACCGGCTCCGACGGCAGAGGGGGAAGGCCAGTGCATCATCTCATGAAGAGAGAAGACGAGTACAGTGCGCTGTGTTAGAGAGGTGTGCGGGCAGCTCTCGTGCGTCGAACAGCTCGTGCACATGACGCAGCTCTCACAGGCACACAGGGATTTTAAGGAGAGGAGTGTGCAGTCGCGCTCCCAACTCCCATATACGTGCATCACTTTTGGTGACGGTTACAACTTTGATCAACCATATAGCATATTCCATATCTCGATAACTTTAACTCGCCCATGTCGCTGGTCGACGCTCATGAAAGTAGGCGCAATCGATCGGGCGCCGGGCGCCCAGTTGATTGCGCCTACTTTCATGAGCGTCGACATGGTGGTTAACCCCTAAACGGCGTTCCTTTACATATGTAAAGGAACTGATTGTTATTTTATTCCTTTGCAGGACGGCTGGTCGGAGCGACGGCCGATCCAGTAGTCGTCTGCGACATGGTAGTGGCCCCGGTCTATGTGCAGCTGGTCCCGAGCGGCTCAGGTCCCAGATCGAATCTCGGACCCACAGATTCTAGATTCCTTTAGATTCCCTGGATTCCCGCAACAACGATCTCTTAGCGGCGGCAAACAGAGGCGCAACTCTGCCAGCAGTGAGGAGGCTCCTGCTGCTCAGCTACCGAGGCCTGGTGGCGTCGGCTGCTGCGTGGAGAAGACAGCAGCACTGTCCGACCTCAAAACATGCACAACAAGCGGGATTTGTGACTCTGTCTTCGATTCTTCAGTCGCTCTGCCGGACGCGCTCGCTTTGTCGCGAGGGTCACCTGTGCAAGCCGTGTGGACGCCCAGAATAGCCTCCCCTGGCTTAGCTAGACTGAGAGATATTGTGCACATGGTCAGCTTCTACAATATATACGCTGACACTTTACCTCCCAGAGCTCGTCTCGGTCCGCCACGGCCATCCTCAGCCTCCGGGCCCCTGGCCGCGGCGCGGTGCGGCGGCGTCACAAATCCGACGTCAGTTCACCGGGACGCGATCGGGCGATCTGAAGTCCAACTAGGCGTATGGATTGCCCGCCCAGGGCTATCACCTGGACCCCTCAATGGACGCCTGCGGTGCCGCCCCCACGAGGTGTTGTTCACACCTGTCCAACCATTCGTGCAGCAGGGACGCGCTGTGTGTGGCTGGCAGCAAACTCAAATGACGACGGGTTGCAGCCTCGTAGCTCAACGGCAACATTGTGCATGAGGAAGGCTGATAGAAGTAGCACCAGCCACACAACCAACAGCTTCTGGAGAGTATGCGGAGCGCAAGCAGCCGGTGATCAAAGGCGTGTGTTGCTGTCGGTGGCAGATTGCCACAGGGACGCCGGCGCTTCGGTGCGTGGCTTCGTCACAATTTTCCACCGCTCAACTTGGAGGCAGTGTGTCTAGTAGCGTGCTACACCTATGACGGCGGACCTCACTGGGGCGCCGACGTGCGACGACCGTCTGGGATCGAAAGACGAAACCGCGTCCTCCAGGAGCTCGTGCAGTCTGCAGAGCGCGCTCCGGAGCTCTGTGGCGGAAAATTTAAAGGGAACGTGGTGGCTTCCCACCGCCTCTGTATGTGCCCAATAAAGTGCTAACACGACCCTCGGGCAGCAGGGGGTATGTGGCGAGCGCACGGAGGCACAGTTAGGCCGCCGTGATATCGCCCTTCCGGGCACCCCGTTTCGGTAGCCGTTTAGGGGTTAAGGTTATCGAGACATGGTTGATCAAACTTCAAAGTTGTAAACACCGTCACAAAAGTGATGCACGGGAGCGCGACTGTGTGGTGCTAGCCGTCGCCCACCCTTGGGCGTCTGCCTCTTCACCTATCTCTCTTCGCAGTCCCTCCGACGACGCCGCCGCCTGCCGATCCCTTGCTCTCGCGGCTTCTCGCCCCCGCCTTCTGCCCTTCTCGCGCGTCGGCCGTCGCGGCGCAACTTCCGGTCTCCGCCCTCCTCGCGCGCCTCGCGGCGACGCCGGCGTATTTTGGCCCCTCGAGTTTATCAAGCTCTCCTTGCGCGTGCATTAGCTCCCGCTCCCACGTGTGGGGCATCTTATCGTGCCACACCCAGCTGTCGCTCTGCTCTCCTTCCCATTCACAGAGGTACTCCCATCCGTGTTCGTCCTCCTCCGTGCCTCCCCCGTAGCAGGTCGGCGCCTTCCTTGCCGCCTTCACCTTCCGCACCCTATCGGGCGCCCTCCGTTCCGTCTTCTGTCCGTGTGCGCGCTCTTCTATGGCCGCCCACTTCCAGTATTGTCGCAGCTGCGCCCACTCTGGTCGCTCCAGCTGCTCCGCCAGCCTCTTGTATTCGCTATGTTCCGTCGTGTTGTCTTTGAGGCCATAGACTCGCTTCATTTGCGGCCACGTCAACACTTCCCCGGTGCCCCATTCTGACACGTCCGACCATGTCGCTATCCCGTGCTTGGCTAGGTTACGTGCAAAGTCACACGCGAGGCCTTGGTTATTCCAGCCATGACTCCTTGTCTCAAAGAGGAGCGGGCCCAGTACTCTCTTTCGGCTCTCGGTCGTTCTCCACGCCTCGGGTCTGAGCGGCCCCTTCTTGCTCTCTTCCCACCCCGCTGTCGTGACCGTCTCCACCCCACACCTCCATTTTGCCTTTAGATATGCTGCCCGACCTGCGAGGTGCCAAAAATTCTTTTTCTGAGCTCTTTCAGCTCGCCTCCTCCTAGCACCAGCTCCAGCACACTCATGGGCCGCAAGGGCACACGGCCGCCCAAGAAGGCGGAGCCAATCAAGTCCGCCGTCCCGAAGGCCGCCGCACCACAACTGCCTGACAGCGGCAGCAGCCAGCTCCAGTGCCTCACGCAGCAGGAGGCGCTCACAAAGCTGGACCGAGTGAGTGTGTTCAACATCGTCGTCGAGAAGCCGGGCGGGCGCGACGTATTTGTCCCTCAGGGCGGCACGCTAGACTTCTTTGCGGACGCGGACGACGCGCGCGCGGCGCTGGCTGCTGCCAGGGAGGCGAACCCGACGCTGCCTCTCGAGCTCGAGGCTGCTCCACTCGGGAGGGCCTTCTCCATCGTGCAAGGCCTGTTCGGGATCCGGGCGCCGATGCGATCTGCGCTGCACTTTAGCAAGGCGGTTGTTGATGACGTCGGCTACGCGGGCGTGCCGGAGGCGGCTCGCGAGAAGATGGCCTCGGCAGGGCCATGGCCGCTCTTCACGGCGGACGCGCTCCGTTCGCCGGGCGCCATCCCCATCTTCCTCTCGCGCGAGGAGCTCAACGCGTGCTGGGCCAAGAGCGGCCGGTCGCTCGATTCGCTGCCGCCACTCGAGGAGTGTGCGACTGACCTTCGCATTCTCATCGCCTCCACGCTTTCTGTGGCCGACAACTGGCAGCCGCTGCTCTTCCTGCCGCCAAAGAGCACCACGCTCCTCGAGAAGGAGCTCGCCCAAAAGCGGGAGCGGCAGGAGCAGGTCATGCTCAACATGCAGCGGGCGAAGGCGATCGTCGACGCCGAGGACGCGTCGGCGCAGGTGCACCTCAAGGTGCATGCTGACGATGAGCCACCCGCGCTCCGATGACCTGACCTGCCCCATAGTTGTGGGCGGTGCCCGTCACAAGAGCGCGCTGACCGTGTCAGGCTGCACTTGAGAACATGAGTCGTGTGCACTAGTCGAGAGACACCTCTCGCGCGCACTTGCCACTTGCGGTTGCGCATGCCTTTGCATTGTGGCCGATATATGCACATAAGGTATCGTGATTCATGAGTCTTTGAACGATGAAACTCTGCCGCGTCAGGCGGCGACCCTCCCATCTAACACTTTGCGGTGCCTTCACAAAGAGCCGACCCAAATGCCACGATAGTCGATGCGGCTCTCTGAAGCCGTAACCTCTATCAGTATCACGGTGTTGGCGCACCGACGAGACTAAAGACCCGAAAGGGAAAAGCAAAAAACCGCGCCGCGGTCCGCGTCCGGCGATAGAGTGACGCCGGGGCCGCAGCCCCAACCCCAAACTTCTCGGGGCGTGAATTCTAGTCTCAGTGGGGTATGTCACATCATAACGCAAACACCCCGAGACAAAGGCAGCGCCAGCGGCCGGGCCGGACACCGGGACACGCCGGGCGGAAGAGTCATCACTCAGGGTCACGAGGCTGTCAAACGCGACGCCAAAATGCAAGCCGATCGTCTGCCCTCCCTCTCTCTGCTCAAGATGTCTATCAAGTATTCTGCCCGTTAATACTACCAGAAGATGACTCCATCCGGCCGCTGGAACTTCCACCATTCGCGGGGCATGCTGTTTATGGTCCCCTGTACGCCCGTTTTCATCGCCTTGAGACGGTCGAGCTGGGCCTGCAGGTCCTTCTCCGCCTGCGTCTTTGGGGGTGGTGGGGGACGGTAGACCGGGGGATCCTCCCAAACGATCGGTTCCTCCTCCTCCTCATCAGCAGCACGGGCCATCTCAAAGGGGCCAAAGCTAGGCGGGTCGGACTGGAGCAATGGCGTCAACGCAGTGCGCCGCATTTGATACAGCTCCACCTGCCTGGTGATGTCGCTCCTGTAGCTAAACAGGCTGACATCCCCCGCCTTTGCTTTCGCCTTGTTTGCCTCCAGCAGCTTCTGGAGCGTGAGCAGCTCGGATTGCTCGAGCGAGGTGTCGGCCGTCCAGTTATGCTTGTCCTTGTAAGAGTCCGAGGAGAAGTCGAGGTCCCCGCCCCGTTTTTTGGCCTCCAGATTTATCCCCCGGGCACTCGCCTCTGAGCTCGTCATGCCAAATTCTCTCACTTCGCACGTGGCTTCTTGGGCCTGCTTCCATTTCGTCGTCTTCGGCAGCCTTGTGTGGAGCCTGCGTTTCGAATGTGTGCCCCCAGGATACCACGCGTCGCTTTTGATCTCATCGATCGTTCGCCCGACAACGGGGTATGGCGTCAAGCTGACAGACATCGTCGATCGAGATCGGGCCCAACAGTCGAGTGTTGCGCCGACGTCCGTCCGTTTTTCATCAAACTAATTAATTAAAGTAAGAATTGCCCATGCCCGACTCGCACCGTCACTGTGGTGCTCGTGGCGCTATGGCGGACGTCTCTGACAGCAGCCGCCCCTGCCGCTTGCGCCGAGTCGAGGCTGCCCATCCCTTGGCCCGAGAAACACAAACACGTTCGTTACTTCGTTTCCGGAAACCAAAAAGGAAACGAGAGGGTCCCCAGCACTTTTCGTTTCCGGAAATTTCCAGGGAAACCAGAGGGTGTTTGGAGCTCCATTCTGGCAACTCTCGAGTTTCCCTGAGTCTGAGAGCTGGTCTGGGGCAAAATCTGAGGCGAAACCGAGAAACCCGCCAACATACCGGGTATTTTCCAGGTATAGCCGGGGTTTTCCAGGTACTGCGCAGCAGGGTGTAGTTCGGGCCCACCTCCGCCACGCTGTCCAGCACGTGGACGGCGCTCGCCATCTCGCGACCGCGTCGTCCTCCGGCGGAAGCTCCGCGTCGCCCGCGGCCGCTTCCCGAGCGCGCTCGTCGCGCATCCGCTCGTGGTGGGCCTGCCGACGCGCCACGCCGGCGCCCGTGTGCCTCGCCGCCGCATCCGGCGACGGCATCGATCCTGTCCGCACGAGCGTGACTCGCCACTCCACGACCTCCACGACCTCCACGACCGCCGAAAAGTTCTCTCCCACTCGCTCTGTCCCAAACCTAAATCTTTCTACAGTTACATACATACCCGCAAAATACCCCGGTATTTTGTCGATTTGGCTGATTTTGGGCCCAAACCATCTGATTTCCACGGAGTTTCCTCGGGAAACTAGAGAGGAAACGAGAGGGTGCTGTAGAGAAACACCAGACAGGCTTGTCTATCGGTCGGATGCTTGAGACATGAGCTAGCTCCCGGGAAAGCCGGGCCCACATAAGTAGGAAGTGGTTTCCCAACGTGTGGGGGCAGTGTGCACAACACCATGGGCCACCACTGTGGAACATGTGCGTGCCAGTCTGTTCCACCATCGTGGCGCGGGCCTGCTAGATGTGCATGCGCCCTTACCTCGGGGTTACAGTCGGTGTGCGACCGTCGGGTGTGTGTCGCGCAAGTATGTATCTGACGCGGGGGAGCGGGGGAGGAAGAGGGGGAGGGACCTGATTGAGGAGGAGGCGGTGGGGGTGTGGGGGGGGGGAGAGGGTGGCGTGTTTGGGGAGGTGGGGGATCGGGGGAGGCGGGCTGGGGGGGGCTCGGCTGCAAGGCCTGAGCGGCGCAAGCGTAGTGGAGGGTGGAGGCGGATCGAAAAGCTAAAGGGAGTCCGGAGAGAGGAATGAATGTCGCGGTGAAAGGGAGGCGCCGCGGCGGGGGGGGAGGGAGGGGGGGGGGGGGCCGGGGGGGGGGGCACCCGGCGCCCTATGCCCGTGTAGTACGTCTACAAGTTACTTTGACTCTCAAATTTTGCCCCCCCCCCCCCCCCACCTGCTCTGCCCGTCCCGCAACACACACTCCAGACAGACCTCTCGGCGCTCTGGAACAGGTGGGGCGCTGGCGTCATCACTCAGGTGGAAGCAGGAAGCTTCCATTCCGGCGGTTCGAATCCACACGAGCCGAAGGTGATGGGTTGGGGGCCTGAGACTGAAGCTCACCCAGTGAGGAAGTGAGGAACTGCTCGGCCCGGCCCTGATCATGCTGACCAAGCTCCTCTTGTAGCTCGATCGGTCACACCGCCATCACCGACACCGTCGGGGAGAGGGGGGACGACACTGCTTCAGCAGCGTGCACCTCGATCCTGTACCGTGTTTGTTATGACTTATGACCCCACCCAATGAACACACCAGTGAGGGAGGGCGAGACGATCGAGGGGTCCCGTACCATGCGGAATCGACCCTATCCAGTGCTCAAGTGCTCAAACACCGACCGGAAAGGAAACGAGACGGGGTGAGCGAGGAAACATGTATATATGCAGCCTAACCCATCCTCGGTCAGAGAGAGATTTTTAGCATTTTGTGTTTGTCGGTCAGTCAAATGTTACACACGTCCCTACTAGCACGGACGAGGGAGTACTCAGTCTTGCTTGCTCAGGGGAAGGCAAGCACGCGTTTTTTTTGCTCAGGGAAGCGCGCACAAACCTCCAGGATAAGTTCCGGCAGCCACTTCATCAAAATGCAGAAAAAAAGGGGGGACTCGCGGAGGTCCCGCTCTCGAAGGCTGGTTCGCAGGGTACAAGCACACATATATGCTGCCGACCGTAGCCATTGCCGCTGCTGCCGCCACAGCAGCTGGCTCGTGCGGCGCGACTGCTTCGCCCATCGTAGCCGAGAACCAGCTGCCTGGCGTGCCGGCGACCGAGTGGGACGTCAACGGCGCAGGCAGCTACGACGTCCAGGGCTTTGCCACGCGTGGTTCGGTGCTCCCAGGCGCGCGTGTTCACTTCAAGATCGCGATGGCGCATGAGGAGACGCTTCGCGTGGATATTTACCGGCTGGGCTGGTACGGAGGCGACGGCGCTAGGAAGGTTGGCGAAGCGACTCTCGTGGACGTGCGAGCGGCCTCCCGCCAGCCGCCGTGCGTCAAGACGGAGCCCGAGGCGGAGCTGTGGGACTGTGGCAACTGGGACGACGTCGCAGTCTTCGATGTACCACCGGACGCCACCTCGGGGCTCTACTTTGCTCGCGCTGTGCTGCCAGACCCTCTCGGCAGAGGCGACCCGCGAGGCACCTGGCGCGCAGACGCGAGTCGGCACAAGTACGACAGGCAGCACGTGATGCTCGGCCGCGACGTCCTGCTGCCGCCGATGGAGGGGCGGCACAGCTACGGCGCGATGGGCCGCAACCGCCTCCGCAACGCGCTCCGCGAGCCTCGCGCCTCGCACATCTGGTTCGTCGTTCGTGCGGGCGGCGACGCGGCTCGCTCCCTCCTCTTCCAGACCTCCGACACCACGTGGCACGCGTACAACGGCTGGGGCGGGCTGACCACGTACGGCAGCTTTGAGTACCCCTTTGAGCACGCGCCCGGCCGGGCGGCCTACAACCTGAGCGACCCGGATCACGACACGAGGAGGGCGTACAAGCGCTCGTACAACACGCCGCTCATCACGCGCGACTACCGCGCCGTCAACATGCCGCTCACCAGCGAGTACCCCGCAATCCGCTTCCTCGAGCGAAACGGGTACGACGTGCACTACGCCACCGGCGCGGACCTGGCGGTGCCGGCTCGCGCACGAGGGCTGCTCGCGCGCTCGACCGCGTACGTCTCCGTCGGGCACGACGAGTATTGGACCTACGAGCAGCGCGAGGCCATCGAGGCTGCGCGCGACGCAGGCCTGCACCTCAACTTTTGGTCTGCGAATGAGGCCTACTGGGCGGTGCGCTTCGAGCCGTCGCGCATCGCGCCGCCGCCGCCGCCGGCCGAGGGGGAGGAGGAGGAGGGGAGGGACGCGGCGCACGACCCGCCGCGCACGATGGTCTGCTACAAGGAGACCCAGTCCGTCGTCAAGCTCGACCCGGAGCCGGGCGCGTGGACGGGAACCTTCCGCGACGACCGCGACATCAACCCAAAGGGCGGCATGCCCGAGAACGGCCTAACCGGCCACATGTTCGCGGCAAACGCGCAGCGGATGGACGCGCTCGTCGTCGACGGCGGGCGGTATGGCCGCCACCGGGCGTGGCGCGGCACGCAGGTGAGCAGCATGTCGCCCGGCGACCCTCCTCTCGTCCTCTACCCTGGGCTGCTCGGGCATGAGTGGGACGAGGACGTCGACAACGGCTGGCGGCCGGCGGGCCTGCAGACGCTCGCGACGACGACGGTCGACAACGTGCAGGGCATCATGGACTGGGGGTCCACTTTCGACAGCGTGACGGCCACACACTCCCTCGTCCTGCACAGACGCGGCAACGGGACCGGCGCGTTCGTCTTCGGCTCAGGGACCGTGCAGTGGGCGTGGGGGCTCGACTCGCACCACGACGTCAACGACCCGCAGCGCGCCAACAAGTACAATATCCGCGTGGCCGCCGACCCGCGCGGCGGCTGCCCGGAGGTCAAGCAGCTCACCGTCAACATCCTCGGCGATATGGGGGTCGTGCCGGCGACCCTCGAGCCGGGATACTCCCTGCCGCCGCCGTCGACGGACGTGCAGCCGCCGACGGGGGGCCTGCACGAGCTCGCGGTGAGCGAAGGCTCCCGCGTCGAGGCGAGCGGCTGGGCGGCAGACGGCGGCGGCGGCGTCGTCGCCGCCGTCGAGGTGTCGTGGGACGGCTCGCGCTACCACCCCGCAGAGCTAGAGACGGTCGACGCAGATGCCGAGTGGCGCTTCCAGTGGGGCGCGCTCGCCTGGGAGCGGGCGCATGGAGACCCTCCCCCGAGGGAGCTCTCGCGGGTGTGGCTCCGCCTCACCGACGATAGCGGCAACTCCGCTGTGCTGCAGGCCGGCGCCCCGCCTGCCGCGCAGTAGTCGGGGGGTGGGCGGGACCGCGGTGAGCATCGCGCCCGGGCCTGTCAATGGGCAGCTTAGTGCTTACCGCGCGCCCCCGCCACTGATACCAGTAGTCGCTAGATCCACATGCTGGAGAGATCAGAAGCTGCGGGGCGGCGGCTCGGCCCTCGCCCCCTTGTGCGTGCTGAAGATGGAACAACAACATTCAACAACCGAACACAGTGCGAACAAGGATGTTGTCCATCTTGCGTTGTCGCACGCGCGCCTCAGCGACCACCTCGTCAAGGATGCATGTACAAGCCGCGATAGCCGCGCACGGCGCAGCGACCTCGCGGTAATAGAACACGTTTTTTATTGTTTGCTGCTACGCCAAAGTATACAAAAGTTAACTCAAAAGCGAGCGAGCATCGCTCACTCGCAACGTCTATGGGCTCGCCATGACATGGCGACGCACAATCGCTCCCTCACGCGCCACCCGCACCCCCTACTCGGCGAGCGGCCGCACCGTCCTGAGCAGCGGGAGCCTCGCCAGCGGCCGCACCGCCTTTAGGGCGCGTCCCCGAACCACGCTCACCGCCATATCAACGCAAGCATCGACCGGCTCCGCGGCGCCGCGTGGGGTGTCGAGGCAGGGCAGGTCGGGCTCGAGTCCCACGCCCGGCTCGATCGGCGCCAGAGTGGGGCGCATGTACTCGCCGACGGTCAGCTTGAGCGCGCCGCCGTTTGGCATCGGAAAGACGCGCTGGATGAGCCCCTTGCCGAAGGTGTGCTCCCCAACGAGCACGCCGCGCCTACAGAGAGGCTCCGGCGAGGCTCGGGCACGGCTCCAGACACGCGGCCTCCCCGACGACACATCACGCGCCCGTTGTCATGCAGCGCTGCGGCGAAGAGCTCCGCCGCGCTCGCTGTCCTACGGCACGAACAGGCCAGAGCCCATCAACAGACCAGCGCCGGGGCGGGAGTACGGCCTCGTCCAGTGGACTCGGAGCACTGCGTGAATACGAGGCGCTACAGATACAGCTGAATTCGGCTCGAGCATAGAGTGGAAAGGAGCCGGATCCGTGTCGGCTTGAGCGCTAGCTCGAACGCGAAGAGATGTCTTCCGCATCTAGGCTCTGCTCTCCCGCGGTCAATCAACACGACGAGTGGCGCCCCAAACAGGGTCGCCTCCGCGTCGCCCACCGCACCGCCGCGGTCGCCCGCCGCGTCGGCAGCCGCGTCGGCAGCCGCGTCGGCAGCCGCGTCGGCAGCCGCGCGCCCGTCAGCAATCGCGCGCCCGTCTGCGGCGGCGTCGTTGGCGGCAGCGTGCAGGATGGCGCCCGCGGTGTGCCTGCAGGGAGGTTGCGGTCGGCTTCAGGGAAGGGTCTCGGCACGGAGCACGGCGCCAGACACTGTGCCTCTCGACGCGACCGGCCGCGTCGACTGTGTACGCGACCGTCGCGTCGGCGCCCGCGTCCGAGTCGAGCAGCAGCAGCGACGCCTGCGCGAGCGCCTCGGTGACTTGCCCGCCTGCATGCGCCGGGGGGGAGGGGGTTGGGGACCGGTCGGAAGACGGCTTCCGAGGCGGAGAAGGGGGCAGGGGCAGGGCAAGCGCACCGGGATTGTTGCGCAAGTCGAGGACGAGGCGGTCGGCCCCTGAGGGGCGCACGTCGTGGACGTGTCATGGACGCGTCGGCGGGCGGGGGAGGTGTGGATGAGCGGCGCGTCTGCTGGGGAGGGGTGTCGAGGCGGGAAGAGTCGTGCACCCGACGATCGCAAGCGCTGCAACTCGGCGGTGAGCTCGGCGGTGCCTCGCTCTGTGAACTGGCCGATCCTGACGTAGCCCACGCGCCTGCGTGGTGAGTCGAGGAGTGGGGTGAGCCGGCCGGAGGGGGCGGACCTGCACGTCGCCCACCTCGTGTGTCCCACCCCTCGCCCCTCGCCCCTCGGCCTGCTCCGACGGCGGGTGAGAGGGCCCCCACGGATGCTAGCCGGTGGCTGGAGAGATGTGGCTAGGAGCGCGCCCGCCGCCGAGCGCACGCGAGCGGACCCACCCCGCCGCCGCCTCCTCCCCCGCCTCCTCGCCGGCTGACGGGTGGCGCAGAGAGACCCACTCGGCACTCGAGGAGGAGGCGGAGGAGGCGGAGGAGGCGGAGGAGGAGGAGGAGGAGGAGGAGGCGGCGGCGTCCCGCTCTCGCAGCAGCCGCAGCTCGCTGCCCGAGGCGCGCACCTGCACGAGAGGACGCGTCCGGCGGGTGCGATATCTGTATATGCCTGAGGCGACCGGCTCGCAGCTGACTGTTGCAGAGGGGCAGGGCGCCGGCGCGTCTCCATGACGGAATCACAGTTGCGGGGGAGTGCCCCGGCTGTCGCTCCAGCCGGCACGCGCACGCCGCGCGGCTCGCGCGACCTCTCCCGAGGGACTCTCCCTTCCGAGGGAGAGCGCTCCTTCTCCCCTCTACTGACGCCTACAAGGCACCTCGAGGGCCGAGCGCAGCGCCTCTGCCGGCAGAGCTTAGACACACCACTATTCGGACGTTGCAAC